TGGGGTGTGCAACGTGTAAAATATTTTCAACATATTCACACCGCGAACATACTCAAGTGTGTTTCAAGATGAAAATTTGTGATCATGAACACTTTTTCGTAACTTTCCACTCAACCACTATTTTCGAAACGGCAATTTAGACTTTAATGAAGGCTTTTCGCTTACTCGCTTCATTGAATTCCAAGTAGATTGTCACGGCGCTTGCTGTTTGCTGAGTCAGGGAAGGGGTGGAAACTATCATATGGTGGTCAAACTGACACCTGGCATGAGGGTTCGACCTGGAAACTTGTTCACCTAGGCAGCTTATGGCTTCCTGGTTGGGCACATTTTGATCAGCTCATTATCAATGGTTGGAGAGAGTGATTGTCGTAAACAATGGCGCTTATGCATCTCTTCGATTTCTTTGCAACCTTGATCTTTATGATTTTTTTTATTTTCTCTCTTACACTTTGTTGAATATTCTAATCTTCCCTGTACTCCTTCATTCAGATGGGCAGTCATGAGACAGCAACCAAAACTGACGCATGAAAGTGTTTGGTTAATGGTTGAAAAACTGACTAAAAATGAAACTAATACCCGCATCCTCCATTTGTGGCCCTGATTTTATTGTGGTTTTATCGATTATAAATCGTTCCGCTTTGTTTTCATATACTCTACCTTATCACATTTTTCTGTCTTCAGTTGGTTGTTGGAAGCTATGAAATTACAACTGGAACATGAGAGCATCGGAGATCAACGCGAACTGACCCCATTCAATTTGGATGATCCAGGCACACCAACTGTCGGTCCTGCAGCGAGCGTTACTGGACATCAGCGCAGTTTGGGTGCGTGTCATTTGTACAATCTACCACCATGTATGGTGAAAGATTTACTGTTGCGTACGTTGAGGGCCGGTCAACTCTTCAGTTGTACTCCAACTGTTTCCGACCGTATGGAGAGCCTAAATGATTCCACTGGTGAGTGAGGGATCGCCTGACTCTTTGTTACCTGATCAGCTTTATTCATGCAAATTTTTATTCATTTATCTTTTAAGTGCTCTATCCGTTTTCCCATCTAAATCACTGGCACATTATTCCCCGGGCTCTTTCGACCCAGTGTCCTATATGGATTCAATTTCATTTCATATGCTCCATGTTCTACCATCTTCATTTTCGGTTACGTTGTGAATTACCGGCGATTCTTCTGATTCAGTCGAACATTGTATCAATTTGTGCAGTACTCATAACCTGTTGATGAACTGTGACCACTCTATCAATAATGTTTTGGTCAAGTATTCCGATTGTGCAGAAGTTTGTACCCATGATCGAACTTGTTCTGTTCTATAAGAGCTGTGAGTTATTTTCTAACATCTAAGTGAATTCCGGAGTGATTTCATCCTCTTCCCCTCTTAGGACAACAAACAGAGGAGCCCAGAACACCGCGTCGTCGGTTCCGCATTCGTCGTCAACCAGAGACAACGTCTAATCGTCCCAGTGGGTCTGTTAGTCGTATACCGGATGCACTGTTCCAAAGGCAGCTCGATGGATGCTTGGGTCGTGTCCCACCCACGTTTTATCAAGCATTGTACACCATTTTGGAACGGTCGCCTCATGGTGTTCTCATTTGCAATAAGCTGCTTTCACAGGTTCGTCTGTTAAATCCCAGCCTTCTCCGTTCTGCCGTCCCATTCTTTGAATTCACATTTGTATCCTCAACCAATCCTGAGACTACCGAACTGCCGACAGTACCTGGAGGACCGTGTCACATCTTCCGACTGGGTGGTGTAGTTCTGTAGATCGAAGACAGCTTCAAGTTTGCAGTCCGTTAGGGACCGATGTGCGGCAAATTGGTTCATGCACGTTTTGAATAGTAATTCCCGGTCTAAAGCGCCCGATGCAATAAAGTGGACCGGTGACTGTGCCTACGAACCCTTGTTCCGGTTTGTACGGTTCACTCTTCTTGGTGGGAAATCAGAGTTTTCCAACTCCTCTAGCCGACTGAATTGACGATCCTTCGTCAACCTAGTTGTAGCCCCGCTCTTCTGCTTCAGATTAAACACTGTCAACACAAGAAAGCAGTGATCAGGATTTCGCCTGCAGAGAATGTGAACGCAGTTCGTTCCAAAAGGTATGCGAGACGGTTTATGGATCGCCCTATACCTTACTGAGGAGTTTGGATGCCAGTCATAGGTAAAACAAAGTATTTTCTTGAAGTCTTTTTTTATTAAGATTGTAAGTTAGACTTTGTTATCTTAACTGTGATACGTAATAGGCATCAACCGTTAAATTAATGACTAATAGTAATTTTAAATTACAAATTTTCTTACATAGTCTATGTGATTTCACAGACAGCGGAGTTTGCGTGATGCTGTTCATTACACAGATCCTGTTTTTCTGAACTGGCATGGACTACTCAACGCATAATATGATTTAATTGCTGTGGTCATGCGCTCGAACTGTTGACTTGAGACTTAGGATTTAGCCACCAAGCCCTGAAGTTCACTACTAGAATCCCCTTAGGGACAGAAACACGATACATGCTACTAATGCACTCCGAGAAAGATAAACAACTGTATACTACCCTTTATCGGATACCACACCATTCCATGGCTGCCTAGGTGACCGAGTCGAGTTAGTTTGATGAGTTCGTATTTACTTTTTACTAGTCCTTGTTGGTGACACATGAAAACCATGAGTCATGCAATATTGATTGTGGTACAATAGAGCATACATATGTTGATCACTTTCCATCATCTGGTCCCTAACACATGCAAGGAGTATCGTGATCCGTGTCCGCTCATTACTGTTTACCGTCTTCCTTGTCAATTACACAGAAACCAACTCTGACCGATATGACCCCGTACGACTTGAACTTCATCGATGAGGTCGAATGGTTGTTACGTCCCATTGGCGATCCAGCATACCGGTCCTTATTCGTGGAGACAGTGATGGTGATTGCTGTGATCCTCGATCGAAACAAAGAACTCTCTTTCAAAGACACAGTAGATATCAAACTGGTCATTCAAGATGCGATGGCAGCATTCACCAAAGATCGACACGAGCATGCGTGAGTCACGTAGTAATGTTTTGGCTTACCACATTGGGGTATCTTTCAAACAAAAGTTCTCACTCAATATGTATTTGAATAGAGAACGCAGCAACACATAGGTGCACTATTTATTCACTATTCACCGTATCTCATCAGGTATGTGATTCAGTATGCATAGGTGTAAAAACAAGGAGTTGTCTGTAACCCAAAAAAGATGGACAAATTCAACACCAACTGTTCGTCAACGGTAACTGTAAATTGTTAGTTTTCATTGTATTTTTAACTGTAGTATGTGCCCAGGGAGGTACATCGAACAGTTTCCGGAAATAAATTGTGCAGCACTGTGTTACTGTATCTTCTGTTCAATATTTTGATATTTTTTAAATGTTATTATAACTTTTGGAAGAGGGGAACAATCTGTCAGCTCAAGACTGGTCTCTGCAGTTCTCATCAATACATTATAAAACCATGTTTTTTGGCATTGAGCGCTTATGTTAGCCGTTCAGAGCGTTCATGTCGTACGCGTTTGGCGTTAAATTACTCACCTATATTCTGCCTGTTATTGTTAGTGGCACACCGATACGTTTATCTTTTCCCACCTACCAGACACACAAAACAACATGCTGATACACTTTCATGCTCTACAACCACCCACGCTATCCAGCCAGCTTGACACGACCTGAACAACTTTTGTTAATTCCTGCCGCTGTTTATCAGTCCATACGTGCATCTAAAGCATACGGAATTACAGCGAACAAGTGGAGTAGTAAAATACCTGCTGCGGTATTTGATGTGTTTGTTTTTAGTGTCCGCTGTTGCATGTTGCACTAGAGGTTGAACGTTTGCCAAGATCTTGCTCCCAAAACACCGTAATTCACCACATGAGAAGCTTTGTTGTCGAGTCTGGAATGTCCTTGCTCAGGTGTGTTCATTCGACACAAGGTGTTTGTCTATTGCTACAGTTTCACAGCTACCTTCAATGCGGACTAGTTGATCTTCCTGGTACAACCTCCAACACGCTGTAGTCCATGGTATTATCATTAATACATTTCACACTCGTCTGAGGCCAGACTGTGGCAAGCAAATCATGGTACAATAATCTTTATAAAAAGAAAAAACGTTCCCTGATTTGTATGTGGCCCGAATACTGCCAGGTTGCCCAGGCCA